GGGACCGGGCAGGGACGCCGGACGGGGGAGGGCTGAGGTGCCGGGTGGGATCGGAGAGGGTTGGGAGTCCCGGGCTTAGGGGAGCCGGGGATGAGGGGGCTTCAGGATAGGGAGGGAGCCCCGGGGGTGGGAGCGGTGCTGGAGGGGAACAGGGGGACATGGGGGTCGGTGGAAGGAGAGCCTTCCCCAGACCCCTCGGCCTCCAAGCCAGAGGCTGAAGCCTCTGGCTTGGGGGCCGAGGGGGTCTGGGGGAAGCTCCTTGATCCCTGCAGAGCCCACCCTGCTCCCGGGCACCCCCGTGCTGGTGCTGTCACAGTAACGCGAGGAGCATTCCACATGGACTCTGGGAACTGCCCCGATGTGCCGGGGGCGCGGCAGGAAAAGGGCTGGGGGGAATTCCTGGGACAACCAACCCTGCCACCCCCATAACTGTGACAAGCCCCGAGCACGAGTGCTCACAGCAACCCTTCCCGATGGCTGAAGCCGCGTGTGTGTGTGTGTTCCCAGGTGGGAGCGGTGGGAAGGTGGGATGCTCCCGGCGGCCGTGCTGGAGGCAGGATGAACCTCGTGGCGATGGCGACGGAGCCGGAGCTGCAGTGGGTGACCCTGTGGGTGCGGGTGCGCTGGGCGGCCGTGCTGGTGCTGCTGCTCAGCTCCCTGGTGATGCTGCTGCTCCCCCTCGCTGCCGTGGAGAACCAGTGCCACGCCCTGCTCAGGGGGATCGCCTTCCTGAGGAGCAAGCTGGGCCCCTCGGGAATGCCCGGGATCGCGGGACAGAGCACGGAGCTGAGCGTCACCTCCCAGGGGCTGGAGCTGCTGGTGCTCAAGGGAAAAGCCTCCCCAGGTAAGGGCGTCCTGAGGGGTGCAGGGGGACAGAGGAGCCCCTCAGTACAAGGGAGACAAAGGAGCTGCTGGAGTGCCCAGAGATGAGGGATTGGAGCATCTCAGTGAGGAGGAGAGACTGGGGGAGCTGGGCCTGGTTAACCTGGAGAAGAGAGGACTGAGAGGCAATTCCATCAATCCATACAAGTATCTGACACCCAAGGGGTGTCACAGGATGGTGCCAGCCCCTGTTCAGTGGTGCCAGTGACAGGGCAAAGAGCAGTGGCCACAAACTAAAACTCAGGTTTCACCTCGACACGAGAACATCTTTCCCTGGAGGGTGGCAGAGCCCTGGAACAGCTGCCCAGGGATGCTGTGGAGTCTCCCTCTCTGGAGACATTCCAAACCCACCTGGACACGTCCCTGTGTCACCCGCTCCAGGGGACCCTGCCTTGGCAGGGGGGTTGGACTGGGTGATCTCCAGAGGTCCCTTCCCCCCAGCTATTCTGTGAATTGTTGTGTAAAAAACCCCAACCTGGAGATCTCATCCCCTACCTGGTGTTCTCCTGGAGCCCACGATGGGAGTGACACCAGCCCATGATGGGAAGGAGCTCTCACTGCCACCTGCAGTGAACACCAGCTGGAAATGCCCTCGAGGTGGAGCAGGCCCTCAGCAGCTCCATGACTGCATTCCAGGGCCCTGTGCCAGCGTTCCCTCCTCGCCCCTCTGTCTCTCTGAGGTTTTTCCTCGTGTTTTCAGTACTAGTAAGCCCTGTGGAGGTAACCAGAACACAGAGAGGTGTTTTGATATACAGCATTAATCCTGAAATCCTGGCTGGCATGGAACAGCCTTTCAGGCAACAAGAGGCTGCAGTCATGGCCTTTATCAGCCAGGATGTTAATTTGGAAAACACTCAAAGGAATTACGATTCCAGCACTTTATCTTTGTTTGTATTAAAGCTCTTACTGCTGGGAAAATGTTGGATAGTTCAGTAAACAAACAGAAGTGCTGGTAGCAGCCAACACAACAACATTAGTGTTAGAATTTCACCTAAAACAATGCCAAGAGGACGTATTTGAGACATTGTGTCCTCCCACATGAAGCAGTTTGGTGGCCAGAGTGAGTTTGGCTGGAATGGCTACACAGCTTTGGCCACCTTGAGCCAGCTGCTCCCAGGTCCTGCCTCACCACACTTCCTGCCAGGAATGGCTCTGCTGCCTCGTGCTCAGCCTGGAGACGTGGCACAAACCTCTGTGATTGTAGCCTGGCAAAGGCTGGAACACAAGTTCTGTTCTAGTTCTTAGAGACTGGTTTTTAACTTTTAGATCAGTGAAGAGTGATGGTCATAGAATCATGGAAGGTCCTGAGTTGGAAGGGACCCACAAGGATCATGCAGTCCAGATCACTTTCAGGCCAACCCCCCACCCTGCTCTCTAACCATTTTTGTTGCATTCCAGAGGTGAAGTTGGAAGCCAGGGCAGCTCTGAACCAAGCCTTGGAGATGAAGCGCCAGGGGAAGCGGGAGAAGGCCCACAAGCTCTTCCTGTACGCCCTCAAAATGGACCCAGATTACGTGGACGCCCTGAACGAGTTCGGGATCTTTTCCGAAGAGGAGAAGGACATCCTCCAGGCCGACTACCTGTACTCCAAGGCACTGACCATCTCCCCCCACAACGAGAAGGCCCTGAGCAACCGGGGCCGGACGCTGCCGCTGGTGGAGGAGATCGACCAGAGGTACTTCAGCATCATCGACAGCAAGGTGAGGAAGGTGATGGCCATCCCCAAGGGCAACTCCGCCCTGCGCCGCGTCATGGAGGAGTCCTACTACCACCACATCTACCACACGGTGGCCATCGAGGGGAACACGCTGACGCTCTCCGAGATCCGGCACATCATCGAGACCAGGTACGCGGTGCCGGGGAAGAGCCTGGTGGAGCAGAACGAGGTGATCGGGATGCACGCGGCCCTCAAGTACGTCAACACCACGCTGGTGTCGCGCATCGGCTCCGTCACCATCGCCGACATCCTGGAGATCCACCGGCGCGTGCTGGGCTACGCCGACCCCGTGGAGGCCGGGCGGTTCCGCACCACGCAGGTCTTCGTGGGGCACCACATCCCGCCCCACCCGCGCGACGTGGAGAAGCAGATGCGGGAGCTGGTGCAGTGGATGAACTCAGAGGACGCCATGGGGCTGCACCCCGTGGAGTTCGCTGCCCTGGCCCACTACAAGCTGGTTTACATCCACCCCTTCGTGGACGGCAACGGGCGGACCTCGCGGCTGCTGATGAACCTGATCCTGATGCAGGCGGGGTACCCGCCCATCACCATCCGCAAGGAGCAGCGCGCCGAGTACTACCACGTCCTGGAGGTGGCCAACGAGGGCGACGTGAGGCCCTTCATCCGCTTCATCGCCAAGTGCACCGAGACCACCCTGGACATGCTGCTCATCGCCACCACCGAGTACTCCGTGGGCCTGCCAGAGGCGGGGGGAACCACTGCCGGCTGCAAACAGACCATCCCCGTCAAGACTTGACGCTCAGGAGCTGGTGAACCCCACGGTAGAGCAGAACTCCAAGCCACTCAGTGTTCCTGCTGGGAATAACTGGACAGGAGGTGTCACTCTTTAGCATTTCCTTTATTTAAAGTGTCTTACATTGGATTAAATTAATATAATTTATTTATATACGTTACGCCGAGATGGAACGAGACCTGTTGATGTCGACTGTGCACTAGGAAGTTGCTTGTGCTACTGGAAGGAGGTGGGGAGAGGTGGCAGACAGGCTCAAAAAGAGGAACTAGGATTTAATTTCTCCTTAAAGTTAAACTTTGAGGAGCTGCTTCAATCACAACCCTTCACCCAGGCAGTTACTGCAATGTCTGACCTTGGCAAGGAGCTGCTTGGCAAAGTCTAAACTGAGTTACTTTCGTGTTACCTCGTCCCTGTTGGTCAAAACCACCCCAAAATGCATCCCTGGAGGAGCAGCACCCTCCCAGCTGTGTCCATCAGACCCTTTCCTGTCAGTCACACAGGTACTGAGCAGGAAAGAGGCTGAACTCCACTTCAAAGCCACCTCTCCCCTCCCATTTCTGTAGCACTTCACACGTTTACTTTCAGCTGCCTTTCCTGGGGCCAGTTCTGTACAAGTGGGAAGGATTTGGTGTAGGATTACAGGTGGTGGGAGTGGAACAGGAGGAGAAAAGCTCTGACTTACTGCAGGGGGAAGGATTCCCTGGTGCTCCCAGGCCTCACCTCAGTGAGCAGGAGCCCTGGGAAAGCACAACTGTCCTCAGACATTTCAGTCCCAGGTCTAAAGGAGCTTGTGCCTGCAAAGCTGTGGGCAGAAAAGGTTGTTAGACAGAACCAGGAGACAGCAGCTGTGCCAGTTCAGTGAGAATGTGTGTAGAAAATTTGCCAAAGCCTTCAGTTTCTTTAGCCTACATCAGGGAGCTTTCACAATTAATCATTAAGTCACATTATTACTGCAATAAATGGGGCAAGAATCACTCGAGGCCTCTCTCTGCTGCAGTAGCAGTTGGTGCAGTACCTGGAAACTGCTGAGCAGTTCAAAGAATCACTTTGTGTTTTTTCTTAAGGCAGAAGCACCCCCAGAATAGCTCCCTCCCCCCACCTGCCAGGTGTGTGACAGCAGCATTGATCCCATCACCTCCAAATTCAGAGAAATTCCATTTAATAATCCCAGTTTAGGGTGCTGTTAAGCTTAACTCCTCTACAAAAGCTGTTAAGACTGTCCCAGGCCAGGGTTAATTTTCTTCCCTTTTAACTCTCTCTTACCTGCCAGGGACTTAGGACACATTTTATACAAGCAAAAAGCAGGATGAGACTAGGGGTTCTCTGGTCACTGCTGCCAGGAAAAGCAGACAATACCTGAGGAAGGGTGTTCTGTCCTTACAAAACGTGCTTATTTTTGTAGTGCAACCCGAGTATGAATAAAATCTGCACTTTAGAGCTCTGGGAGGGGTGGGGGGAAATGTTATTTTAGTAACAGATTAATAAACTATTTTAATATTAAAGTCTTTGTTTGGAATAGGTTGTTCTCAGAACACTTTGCTGCAGCGAATGAAGTGGCTGTGGAGGAGGAAGGCCCGTGGTGCAGATCTTGGCTCCCTCAGCCCTGTGACATCATGACCAGACTCATCATTTCAAAGTAAAGCCAAGTGAAATCAGCACAGAAAATAGTGTTTATTTGCAGCAGTGTTTGTGTGGTACAAGTGAACTTGGTACTGGGGTCTCCCTCACATCCACCCCTGCGTGTGGTGACTTCTAGAACAGGAGTTGACAAGCAGGAATATTTCTATCCAAGATCACCCCACATTCTTGGAAAGTCTGAGGTGATTATTAATTTCAGGATATTCAGAGCAGATGGAATGAGCTGCTTAAAGGTATGAGTGACACTATCTGAGCACACCTGAGGGTGAGGTACATCACCACTACCCAGCTGCCAGGGGATAAGTGCAATTCCAACACCCACATTTAAACAAAAGCAACAGTATTTATAGAAAACCTTTGAGAACTTGGAGTTTAATAAACCAGGAAACGTCAGCTTGCACTTCACATTTACAAAACCATACAGAAACCACCTGCAAAATGACACATGAGCTAGCTAACAAAACCAACCCAAAAATATGGTCCTCAGCAACAGCACTAACAACTTCATGGGAAACAAAAGCTACCAGATCTAAAGATTAGCTCATGACACTTAAAAATAATCATCTGAATGTCTTTTTAACAAATACACCATATAAAAAACAGGTCAACTGGAACAGAACATAAACTGAATACATATATATGTATATCTGGGTATCTACATATACACACATATGTATAGAAACTCTCCCAATACTAAAATAGGCCATTGTGGTGAAGTTGGAGCATCTGCCATTGGACTCTGCATGGAAGGAGATGACTGTCCCTGCGTGCGTGGGGTTGGGTGGAAAACGGGCTTGTTGCCAGAGAGAATGTCTGCAGTCACAATCTGAGCTGACCAGTGGGGCTTGCCAAGGGTCTCACATCGCATCTCATTCGTTAATGAAAGAGAAATAAGTTTTGGAAAGTACTCAAAAAAAAAAAACTCCACGTGGCATCCAAGCTGGACAGGAAATATTGCCCCCCTCGTTACCCTCAATATGAGGAATCATAGAATGCCATTTTACCAGAACAAAAGTATAACTCTTTGCTCTTTAGAGGAAAACTACCTGGATTTGTGCCATCCTACACTGATCCCATGAATGCAGCAGTCCAGAACAGTATTTCCATGATTGTGACAGGCTTTCTCTCCTTGCCAGCATAAGGACACAACATGGCTTCCATAAAGGCATTTCACATTGTACCAGACCTGCTGATTGCAGACTTTTTGCTCACTTTTTCAGTAGCATCTTGGCAAAATCAGCATTGGACATCTTTTTAGGCTCTGCAGGGGGCTCAGATGAAGTTGCTGGTGAGTTCTGGACCATGCCATTCTCAGCCTTGGCCACGGGGTTGCTCTGACGCTGCAACGCTCGGGGCATCATGGACAGCTGTGTCCTTCCCTTGCCTCGCCTGGAGGGCAAAAATATCCCGTTTAAACACACTCTTTTAACTTGGGGAAACAACAAGGACTTTGTTCATTATGAGGAACTCTCATTTAAATGTTATCCCTGTCATTTGTTTCAGGAATAAGCAGTGCAAAGCTTTCAATGGGTGGCTTTGAAACACAGAGCCAAGTTCTGGCAGACAACAACTGCCTGACAGTCCCCAGGAGTTGAAACTCTGTTTATCCACAGGGCACCTACAACACAGGAACACTCCAAAAGATGGGAGAGCAGCCTGAATGCTCAGTCTGAGCAGTGGCTGGTTCTCCAGAACGAGAGGATGTGGAGGTTAAGAGGGAATCAGGTGCCAGCACTGGATCTGAGGGGGTGGCCAATGCCTGATACTCTCATCACTACAGTTTCTATTGATTAAGAGGAAAAATCTTTTCCTTGTCAATCCAACAACCACATTTTTTATGGTTCAGCACCTTTTAAACATTCTCTCATATTCACTGAACCCTTTTATGGTTTGGGTTGGAAGGGGCCTTGAAGATCATCCAGTTCCACCCCCTGCCATGAGCAGGGACACCTTCCACTAACCAGGCTGCTCCAAGTCCTGTCCTTGAACACTTCCAAGGATGGAGCAGCCACAGCTTCCCTGGGCAACCTGTGCCAGGGCCTCACCACCCTCACAGACAAGAATTCTTTCTTATTATCCCATCTAACCCTGCCCCTCTGGCAGTGTGAAACCATTCCCCCCTGTCCTGTCAGTAGCTGCCTACATAAAAAGTCCCTCTCCCTCCTCTTTCTAAGCCTCCTCAAGGTACATATTCCAGATGAGATTTCTAAGTTTTAGTGTCCAAGAAACCCAGCATTTCCTTTCCCAGCAGTGCCAGCAGTCCCCTCCTCCCTCACACTTACGCTCCATAAACCTGGCGAGGTGCTGGGAATGTGGAGGCCCTTCCAGCCTCGGGCAGCTTCCGGAGAGGGGGGTTGCTGATCATCACCTTGATCACGTGGTCCTTCACTGTCAGACCATCCATCTTCAGCACAGCCTGGGAGGCCTGGGCTTCATTTTCATACTCTACATAGGCCAGGCCCTAAACAAGGAAAAGAAATAACCTGCATTAGTTTTGGTGCTCCTGTATCTCCAGTATTTTACAAGTCATTTGGTCAACTGGAAGGAAATCATACAGAAGGCGAAGCTAAACGTGGCTCAGAGTCCCAGTATTCTTCTAAAAAAAAAATTCTTTTTACAACCTGAATTTCTTCATTCTCATTCATGATGCCCTAATTTGTGGAAGAAAAAAAAAACCACAACCCCCAAATCCTATTAAAATAAATATATTGAAATATAATGAGGGACACTGGCTGGGAGGCATCACCTCTCACTGCTGTTATGCTTTCAAATGACATTCAAGCCCTTAAGCTGCATTTTCAGATTATCCAGTTTCACAGGAAATGCATCAGGTTTTACATAACATTCCCTAAGCACATTTATGTGTGGTTTAGTCCCAATCCCAGCTCAAACTGAGCTCAGAGCATGGATGGCAGGACTTGGGGTATACGAGAGCACTCATTACAAGGTGTGTATGAAACAGGAACAGCCCCTGAGATGGTGCCAAGGGCTAGAAAATCCAATTGAATACATGCACAGCATCCCCAGGATGGCACCTGTGAGCAGGGCCCAGCACAGACACGGCCCAGGTGTCAGGTGGAATTCTGGCAGAGCAGCAGCTGGTTTAGAATCACTTATTTAACAAGGAGTCATTTATTCCAGGATGGAAATACTGAGCCCTGTGAGACAGAGATGGCTCGTTTCTCACTGGCAAATCTCTGACTGCAGCAGATGTGGGGAACAAAAGCCTCCAGGAACTGAGGAAAGGGAGGATGGGAATTGGTTGCACCAGGTGAACACCATCTATTCAGTTACTCTAAAAACAAATCCTTTGCAGACTTGCAAATACCTGCTTTTACTGTACTGAAAGTGCTGTAAACATCTTCCCCTCCATCCCATTTTCCTTGTGCCATTTAAGAAGTATTTTGAAAAAATTCCACTTTCCTTCTTTAGTTATTTATCAGCACAGACACCCTGGGCTGTATAAATCCAAGCATTTCCCCAAGTTTTAATGCAGAGCCACGCTGGCAACTTAATAAAACCAACATTTTCTATCCAAACTTCATGACAAGCTTCTTTTTGAAGGATTTCTTGAAAATAAAGAGTGCATTAAGGATGCCTACCTTGGGTTTTCCAGCTCTGTTGGTGACCAGCCGAATGTCTTTCACATTCCCATGTGCTTTACACACCTCTTCCAGCTCTTCCTTAGTGCAGGAAAACGGCAAACCAGATATAAACAGTTTGTGTTTCTCCAGGGTAGTGCTATACCTGAAAACCTGCAGAAACAAAAAGGATGGTAGTTATAAACCAGTCAGAGACTCCAAGGATTTCAATCTTACATCCCCTAAAAGTTATCAGAATATTTGATTATCTGTGAGATCCAAAACTACCTTAAAGCCATGACTGGCCATGAGGACTTGCAAGTAAATGCTTCTGAACATCCATGTCTCCTTCATAGTGAGGACAGTCACAGATAATCCTGGAATATCCTCAGTGGGAAGAGATCCACAACTACCCAAATTAGCAGATTTCTGCAAGCTTTGAATAAACTGATGCCAGTCCTTGTTTATGGCAAAGTAAGGAAAGATGCAAAGCCCCCCAAAAAACCTGTTTGACCATTCCAAAGTAGCACAACACGAATTCATGGGATGTGAGCACTCTGGACACAACACTCTCCACCAGCTCCCCTCTGCAGACCCACCGTGCAACCTGAGCCAGTAAAACTTTACCTTAAAGTCTGGGTTCTTGTTCTTGTCCACACATGGGGACACAAACATGGGCCTTCCCTCCACAGCCGTGCGATCCAGGCCCAGGGCCTGCAGAGCGGCCTCCTCCTCCTTGAACTGCACGTAGCAGTAGCCCCGGAAGGTGCCCTTGTTGTTGAACACTGGTCTGACCTCTGCCACCTCCCCACAGCTCCCAAAAAGCTCCCTCAGCTTCGCCTCTGGCTCAGCCATGGTGTAGGCAAGGTTGCTGACGAACACAGTGACTTTATCCTTGCTGCTGTCGTGGAACACTTTGGGGATGTCCTTCCGACTGGTCGAGGCCTTTTCCTTGGGGTTTGCTGGCCCATCTGGCTTGGCAGGGGCACTTCTCCCAAAGAGCCCGGTCTCCACTTCCATGTCTTCCTCAGGAAGCACACCATCACCCTCTCCCCTGTGCCTCTTGCTGGGTAGCTCTAAATAATGAAATTAAAAACTTTATTAGAAAAAAATTACCTCATTTCATTCACTGTTGAAACTAATGTGTCCTCCATTCCCACTGCGGAGCTTGGAAATGTCACTGTATTCGTGGTTACACAAAAGACACAAAATAAAAAGGTTTTAAATAACAAATAACGACAGATTATTCCACCAAGACAGCTTTAGATGAAAGCAACAGGAATATTTGTTCCTTTTGTCAGTCAGTTACAACTGACAGTTGCTGATTCATGTTCTTTGTCTAATGGGAATTTTTTTTTTTTTTTTTTTTAGAAAATCTAAAAGCTCCCAAAGCTCCCAGGGGCTGCAACCTATTAAAGTCTTCTGTTATCAACTTCCCAGAGTCTGCTGCAACAGTGAATAACCCAATTTGCACACATGGCTTGGCATCATATGATGAGTCAGAAAAATGACTTTAAAAAAAAATGAAGCAAAAATATTTTTGCAAAATAAGAAAAGCCTAGAAAATTCTAGAATTCTTAAAAACAGGTATTTCTATTGGTCAAAAACCATTTAGCTTTGCTTTCATTTCAATACCACAGCCAGGAGAGAGAAGCCCTGAAAGCACAGCAGCTCTGAAGACATGAGTGATGGCAATTCCTCATCTGCCTCTAACATGAAACATCAATACCCCCCTCGCCAGAGGTCTGAGATTTTAACTTTATTTTATTTTTACCTTCTTCCTGTCCCCATTCCCCATCATCATCATCATCTGCCTTGCGCTTGTCTCCAATCCTGGCTTTCTTAGCCTTTTTGGAAGCTTTCTTTTCTGCCCGAGCCTGTTTTCGTTGCTCAGCTCTCTCCTCCTCCTGCTTTGCCAGAGCAGCTTCTTTCTCAGCAGCCTGCAAAGAGGTAAGGTTTATTTATTAATTTTTCTTTCCAGTGACTGCAGATTGCAGAGCATTTTCTGGAGCACTGGACCCAGAGGGTTTTCTCCTGAGCTACATTAACCACAGCACTAATGGCAACATCATTTAAAGCACAATCTCAGTTATTCGCTGTCCCAGCTTTCCTGGAGTGCACAGCACTCCTGAATCCACTCAAGGGTCAAAAGGGGAAAGATGAAAAGCATCAAGAGAGGTTGTTAACCATAGTTTTAAACCAAAAATCAATAGTTCTGGGGCTTTAAGACAATTCAGGCTGGGAAGTAACACGAGAAATCTGACATTCAGACAAGCATGATCTTAATTGAGGTGTATAAACTGCTTTGGTAGCTCACAAAGTTCTGACCTTTGCTCTCTGTTCATTAACTCGAGCTAATCTGTTCTCTGTTTTTTGAACAGCTGCATCCCAGTCTTCCAGTGTTCCTGAAGGATAAAGTGAAAATAATTTAAAAAGTCACGTATTTAGCTCTCTCATAGTTCAAAAACACAATTCTGGAAAACTGAGAGTGATTGAATTCATGGAAATTGCTCTTAATATTAACACAGGAAAATTTTAACTAGAACGAGTAGCTTCAAAGGAAAAAACAGAAGCCAAGCAGAGCAGAAACCCCTCATTTAGAATATGACACTCCAAAAGGGCATGGAAAAATCCAGTAATTTCAGCAGGCTCCAAGTCAGGCCAGAAGAGAAGGAAAGAAGACAGAGCTGTGTGTGTACAGGACAGCAGTGAAAGGAAAGTGAGCACAAAAACACCGGATCAAAATTCACCGTGTCATCACACATTAACCAGGCTGGGTAAGACGAGATGAGGTGCAGGCAATTAATTACCTTCTCTGAGCCAATTAATTACCTTCAATCCTCTCCAGGGTGAGCAGCACCTCGCAGACGTGCTCGGGGTAGTCGCTGGTGCACTGCACGGCGCGGTGCAGGGCCTTCCTGCAGTGCTGGGTGTCCCCGTGGGCTCTGCAGGAGGGGAGGGCACTCAGGGGCCAAACCTCACAGCAGGGCCACAACACAGCTGCTACATCCATGAAATCCTTCCCCCTCCTTCCCCAGCAGCTCCCACTTCACACTGGTGCTGTAGCGCTCCTGGAACACACGGCAGAGCCGCTCCAAGAACCTCCAAACCCAAAAGGAACAAACCCGTGCCAAGCTAAGCTGTGTCTCACACGGATGAGGAAATTAAAAGGGAATCAACTCCGCCCCCCAGCCAAGCTCTTACCTTTCCAGGTTATAGTACTCCAGCCACATGTTTGCATATTTGGCATTTCCTTTAGTCATGATGTTGTCCCAGAGCTCCCTGGCTTTCTGCATGTTGTTACACAGGCGGGCCTGCAACAGAGCACCCAAAACACCCAATATCATTTAGGATTATTTGTTCAACACCATTAAATCCCAGCACCCAAACCAAGGGAAGACCACAGGTGATGCAGACAGACCTAGGAAGATACACCTGATCCTTAGATCAATCCTGCTCCTCAATAATACTTCCCTGCCCTCCTCAAATATCTGCCTTGGTTCTGGCTCCCACATACATTTCTTTTTTGTCATTATAAAAAAATACTTGATAGTTGCTTCTGAATTTTTCCTTTTGTTGTTGATGAATGTACCTAGCAGAGCACTTCAGCTCTTGTCCCAGACTGAGAGCTTGCTTTGTGTTTAGGAAGAGGGGAAATGGCTCAGGAGATCCAAGCTGGATTCACCTGATCTGACAGGTAACACCATTTATCCCAATTCCTAAGAGCTTGTGGCAAAGGAAGGAAAATGAAACATCCACTTGTAGTGACTGCACCAGCACATTTACTCATTGAAGCAACCCAGACAAAATTCCAAAGTAGAAAAGGAATTTTCTACTTGGCTGGAATATTAAAACAATCAATTTTATCTAGTTCAGTAATTTAAATACAGAGAGAGAAACTTCACCTCAACTCTGGCCCAGTTCTGCATGATGGTGCAGGATGGATCTCCACTCTCACTGAATCCTAGGAATAAAAACAAAGACTGTTTGTTGTACTTGGCTCTTGGAAATAAAGTGTTTATTAAACAAGTTCTCTGTGGAACTGAAAGGCTTATCTGGAGCTTTCTTAAGATGTTCAAGACCCTTGAAGACAAGTTAAACATTGTGTGGAGAACTGGCCTTATGAAAATCATTCTGAACAAGAGAAAACAGGATATTGGATGATTTAACTCACTCTCTTCTACTTCTTGTTTCAAGTACTCCACAGCACGTGCAAAGGCAGAGCGAAGCTCCTCCAGCTCTTTACTTGAGTCTTTAGGGGAAAAAAAAAAAAGAAAGAATTATCTTAAAATAATAATTCATTTTAATTTCTCATCCACTAAAACCTTTTTGTTAACACCCACAATTATTTTAGTGGGTAGTGGGAGGAGATTAAATTTATTACTTCTTATTATTGCTATTATTACTTAAATTTATTACTTTATTAGTAGTAAAACTCACTACATGCCTAATAAAAAACCATCAGGTATCAAAAATAAAAGGCAGGGCAGTTTTGCAACAGCACAATCTACTCTGCCAGCAAGGAGCTACTTTAAACCAATTATTAAATTAATGTGTTTTATAGACACTAACTGGCCAGAAAGTAACTTCTGTGAAAGATTAAAATACTATTATTTAAAAGAAACCAAAAAACAAACATTAATACCACTGTTTCAGAGAAGTACACGGGAAACAGTTTCAATATTTATTCCCACATTTATCATACAGACCTTGTGTAAAATCCACTCTTCTTCTCAGGTAATCCAGATACGCCTGCCAGATCTCTACATAGTCTGTTGCCTGGATAAAACCTGCATTCAGGGCTTTTTCAAACATTTCTGAAAGAAAAAAAAAACAGGGGAGAAAACCAAACACAATTACTTCCCACTGTCAAAATCAGAAAACTGCAGTGACAGCAAAATATATACACATATACCACTGGTTTCTGGGAAACCAGGAAAAGACAAGAAATTTTACACAGCAAATTGGTTTGGAAAGTGGATTTAAAGCCAGTTTAATTCAGGAATGTTCATTGTAAGTTGTTCATTGCTTGCTCAGAGCTGCAGCTGCTCACCAAAAGCAGCCCTAGAAGCACCTGCTGTATGTGGCAGCAGCTCTGAGACTGCAGCAGGCAGAAACAAACCCTGCAAGTCCCACTTGCCACAGGTTATTCAGAGGGCAGAACCGTAAAGAAGTTTTGCTGAGATGGCCTTTCTTTACCAGAAATGATGCTGTGATCCACCCTGTGCCTCTCCATGGCCAGGAGGTACCTAATCCACAGCCCAACTGTCCAGGGGCAGTTCCTGACAGCGCGGTCGTGGGCAGATAAAACCAACTCCTTCACTTTGAGCTGCCGGTCCTGGAAGAATCACACAACAGAGTTCAAGTTCCTGTCAGCCAGAGAGACCATCTGAGCCAAATCCCAGCTTATAAAGAGCCAGCACTTTAAAAAAAAAAAACAAAACAAAAAAACCCCCACACTTTTATTTTGTATTTGAAAAGCTGAGCTGGGTGTTTCAAATTCTATATCCCTAAAAAGCCAGGGAACACCTTCAAATGAGCAACACAGATCAGAACCCCCAGACCAGTGAGGTGTTTTCTGCCAGTGAGAGAAACACAATGTTTATGGTAAATTTTAAATTCCCAGTTGGAATGTTAAGAGGAGAAGAAAGGATATAAAAGAGGGAACACACACAGCCTATTGATGCAGGTGCTGTTCCACCTGCAACCTGCTGTCTCCAGCTGGGAAGATAAAGAGATGATGGAGCAACTGGGCCCGGATGAGCCTCCTGCAGGGAGTCACCCTGATCCCTTAATCCAGCCACCTTCTGTCCTGCCTCTGGAGCTCAGGATCAGTTTCAGACTGCACTAACCCCATGGAAACACGGGCTGAACAGCTGGGTTTGCTCCAGTATAGCTGGAGCTCGATGCCCAAAACATTTAATTCTGCAGAGAAAATACACAGCTCGAGAAAAAAAAAGTGTTCAAATGCTCACCTGATTAATAAACACACCTCTAAAAACAGGAGGAAAGCAAAGGTGAGGAGAAAAATCAGTTTCTGGAGGATTTAAAGACTAAAGGACAGGACTGAAGTAGAACTTACTGGCTGTTTGTCAGCCACTGAGATTAAAAAACAAACAAAACAGGAAAATAAAACTGCACACATTTTCCTTATTTTTAGGTTCATTTCCTTACCAAATACTGGTTGTAGCGTGCCCAGAGATCTGGGACAAGGCAGTTCTCAGCCAAAGCTCTCTCGTAGATCAACTGAATGCGAGCTGGATCACCTGCTTTCATTTCAAAATCAATGTAAGCCTGGTATTCTGCCAGCTTTGGTGTTTCAGCACCCAGCTGGGAAACAAACAGGGAGACAAAACATTAAATTCCTAAATAAAACACAATTCAAACAGTTCAGCTGCTCCCCAGAGCAGGTCTCGTGCAAAATTTCAAATGAGAAATTTGCCTCTAAACATCAGCAGCTTTTGATTTTCATACACCTCTGAACACCACTCTGCTCTGAAACCACTCAGATCCCTACCTGTGATTCCTCAGTGCTGGAAAAAAACAGCTGGAACACTCATGTGCACCTTAGGGTGGCCTGACACACTCAACAGATTCACTAATTTCCAGTATTCCCAGTTGTGAGGCTTCTTGTGCCTCCCATTGCTCACAGCTCAACAAGTCCCTCAGCAACCCTCAGCTGCTGTCTCTGGGACTAGAAAACTAATAATTTGGAAAAAATTAAATCACCCCAAAGCAATTCACTCTTAGTTTTAAGGAAAGGTGTAAATAGCAGCATTACCAGTGCCTCTTCGTAGGGTTTGCACTTCTCCAGCTGCTGTAGAGCTTTTTTGTAATTCTTGATTGTGGTTTCTGGAATTGGCTCTTCTGACCACTCCTCATATTCAGCATATGAAGCCTCCATGTCTATGAGAACAGACATGAAACCCCATCAATAATGCACTTATGGGACTAAAAAAAAAATAAAATATCAGATTGCAACCTATGTTTGGTTCTGACATATATTCCTATTTCTATTTATATAATATTTATAATAAATACTTATTTATCCCCTTTGAGGATCTATCACACTACTGCATGCTTAAAGGGTTCAGACACCTTACCTTATACAATGTCCTATAAACAAACTCAGGGCAAGTTATATTAAAGCTGCTCATCTGGGATTAGAAAACCAAGAGGGGCAAAATTTTCCCCATGGCTTTAAAGAAAATACAAGAACCCAAATTCTTTCTATACGGAAATGAAGTCAAAGAACTACGTTTGACTTTCTCCTGTGAGCAAAGCAGCAAGAAAAGGGACTCAGGAGTTTAAAACAGGAAATAGAGAAGGGAGAATTCCAGCAATCCACCTGTCAGAGATACTCCCTACCAAGGTTTTTATGCAGCTAATCACAGCTGAATTCCTCATTTCTAGTGGTCCCATTTTGTGCTCATCACTTCCACTTTAAATGGCTTCAAATTATGCTCTGAGCAACCAGATACACCAGGTTTCAATAAATACAAATATTTCTGGTCCAAAGGGATTTGTGCCTCATTCATGAGGCAAATTCCTCATTTCTGGTGGTCTCATTTTGTGCTCATCACCTGCACTTTAAACAGTTCTGAGCAACGAGATAACACAGGTGTCAATAACTAAGAATATTCCTGATCCAGAGGGATCTGTGCCTCGCTCACAAGGCAAATGGCATTGATTAAAGGGAGCACAAGAATCCCAGCTGCAGCTTGTGTGGCTCTACCAAAAGAACTCTGGTGCCTGATGGCTGGATCAGGGTATCCCAGCTGGATCAGGGTATCCCAGCTCTTCCCTCCCTCCCTCCAGGTGCTCCGGTTCTTACCCAGCAGTGGGATCCCCAGCTGGCGCCGGAACAGCGTGTGGATCTTCTCGAGCTGGCTGCACAGCACCTGCTGCTGCTCCGGGGATGGAACGCTGCCAGGGGCTGGCTACCAACAAAAGGAGGGAATTCGATCAGCTCCAAGCGGATGGACACGATGGGGGATTGTTTATGAGCTGGGGGAGCCGAGATCCAAGTGAGCACACGATCCCTGAAGGACACGCACGGCCAGCTCGCGTTTCACTGCTGGGAAAGCTAAAACTTGGAGATGACTCCACTGGATGAATGGGAAAAGCATTCCTGACTGAAAGCTGACACAGGCGCAGGGAAATGATGAGGGAGAACAAGGAACAGCACGTAACTGTGCTGCTTCACAAACCACCAAAGAGGTCTCAGTAAATCCCTGGGGTGTGGAGGGGTGATCTGGAACTTGCAGCTTTGATTGTGTTTGGGAATGAAAGGGCATTCTCCTGTTACCCTTTTGTTAGGGCATTTCAGAGGACTGGGTAGAAAAGGACCTTTAAGATTAAATAGCTCCCACCCCACCACGAGCAGGGACATCTTTAACTTCCATCTCTTACGTAGCAAACTGTAAAAATAAAAAGAAATATTCACATTCTGGCCATCCCATAAAAGCACCTTTTGCAGATGTCAAACTGTACTCTCCAGGGATAAAACACCCTCATCCACATGGCACAAACAGTGTGGAATAAGGAATGAGTTAAAAGCTGAAGTAGAGAACAGTCTAGAAACTTAAACAAGACTGACTCTGTGCAGAAATAGTCACAGGCAAGAATATTGCCTGATAATGGAGCTCCTCAATGTAAAGCTGTTCTCAGCAGAGGGAAACTTTGCTCCTGGATTTGAGATTTGATGATTTTATTTAAGCACAAATCCACTAATTTATCAACCAAATCCACAGAACGGTTTTCCCAGAGCAAAGGGCCAGTTTTCAGAGCTGAAAAGGCCCTTTTCCTCAGCAGAGACAGTCCGAGCTGCTCCACAGGAGCTGCTCCACAGCTTGTCTGGGATGAGAGCCCTGGGGAATGGCCTCACCTGTGCTGTTTCCAGGATGGCATTCTCGAATTCCCTGTATGCTTCCCACAGAGCTGTGCCCTTGGTGACGTGCAGCCCCACTGCAGTCAGTGCCCTCTCGAAGATCGACCGCACCTTCTCGATCCCTCCTTCCTGGCCGATGCCTCCAATGGAATACTGGGCGTATTCCAACCAGATTTCAGGACCTAAACAAAGTGAGGGCAAACAGATGACCTGATCTCCTCAAAAATAATGAAACCAGGCAACTCTGTTTCCCAGACACCTCATTTGCTGCAAATAAATAGACCAACACCTGACAGTTCTCTTTATTTTCTTTTTGTTTATCCAATATAGTAAAGTTAAAATATTGAATTTATGCTGTAGGTTCAGCAGCAGCAGCGCAGTTTCCTTTTGAAAGGAGTAATTCTTGTGGTTTCACTGACCTTGCCTGTCACCTCTGCTACACAAACCACACCAGGGGTGAACCAAGACCCCTTAAGAGCAAATTCACTTTTCCTGAGCACCTGTGCAGAGCTGGGACCACAAAGCTGCCACATTCCTGAACAATTCAGACTAAAGTAGCTCCTTCTTCTCTTTCCAGACTCCTGAACTTGCCTGGTCAGCATCTCCTTAAGCAGCTGAGCCTTGAAGGTGAGGAGGAGGTTGGGGAACAGCACTGGCTGCCTGGAACCTCTCCCACCACCAAATTCCCTTCAGGGATCCCCAGGTGGGGATTGCCCAACCCACAGATGTTGGATGGCACATCTGGGCCCCCTTCCAAACCCCAAGTGCAATCCAGAAGATCCAGAGGATACCTCCTCAGCTCTTCACCTCCATTCCTTTCTTCCTGAAGGATCACCAGCTGATTTCATGGATGTGACATTTTGGGTACAGCTTCTGTGACGGATATAACTCCATGTTCCCAACCCTCCACTTCCTCAGGTTTCATCTTCCCCTCACCCCAACACCCAAAGTTTGCAGTTATTCAGAGTATTATCCCAAAAGTTTTAAGCTACAGCAGCTCCTGAGACACAGAGAGACCAGACACCACATCCTTCCCCTGCATCACCTCACACCAACATCTTAGAAATTAATTTGAAATGTCAATCCAATTTCTGCATTATAACACAAGGAAAAGACTTCTCTAGGAAAAAAGCCAAATCTGGATGTAACACAAGACATTTGGCAGCATTTATTAAGGACTTACAGATGTAATCCTTGACAGCTCGTTCAAACAGCTCATAGACCTTCTCTCGCTCAGAGCTCTCCGAAGCCATTTTTATCTCATCCTTCAGCCAGTCCAGCCAGATCTCTGAAAGGAAGACGATTTGGAACACATCACTAATGTTCAGAACTAATAAGTTACATCCACCTGGTGTTTTATTAGATTTTTTTAGGGACAGAGTTAACTTTAACTTCCATGACTCCTCATAATGAATTTAAAATTAAAGTCGGGCGAAGACTTTTTAAAGTGGAGTTTGCCGGGATCTGGGTCACATTCCCTGCCTGAGGGTGCTTAAACCTGGCCCAGGCATGTTATGTCACTGCAGGTGAAGCTTCCCTCGTGGGGGCTGTAGCAGGAGCAGAGGGTGCTCAGTACCTTCAGTGAGGGGGAAGAGCTCGCTCATCTTCTGCCGAGCTCGCCGGAGCTTCACCAGCTCTCCCTCCTGACGCAGCAGCTTGATCAGATCCAAGTGACAGTTGTAGTCAAAGGCGTTGATGGACAGCTTAAGAAACGGATAAAAAAAAAAAATCGATTCTAAAACCACTGCTGAGTGGTGGACACGAAGAAACCATAAAATAAATCATAATCTCCTCGTGCATTCGCGGAGCTAAGACCACAGAGTTGCAACAGACTCCGCTTTTGTTTGTAAGGTGTTTCCGGGTCGCACAGAGACATTTTTAAAAAACACTTTCAGGTTTAAAAGAGCTTTAAGTTAAGCTCAGTGCTCGGCTCATGGCGTTAAGCTCCCAGGGCTACTGCTCATAAATCCTGGTGCAGGAGAAGCACGGCAGATTCAACGGCACAACGCACCCGAGCGAAGAGTCTTTTTTAAGAGCCAAATCATGGAATATCCAGCTGGAAGGGACTAAAAAGAGCATCCTTGTCCAACTCCTGGTCCTGCACAGACACCCCAACAATCCCACCCTGTCCCTCAGAGCACTGTCCAAACTCTCCTGGAGCTCTGGCAGCCTCGGGGCCGTGACACTGCCCTGGGGAGCCTGTTCAGTGCCAACCACCCTCTGGGGGAAGAACCTTCTCCTGAGATCCAACCTGAGCCTCCCCTGACACAACTCCAGACATTCCCTCTGGTCCTGTCGCTGCTCACAGAGAGAAATGTGCTTTAATTTCTTCAAAAGCAATAAAGCCACCCTACAGGCGGCTGGGCTCTGTCAGTGAGTACAAACCGCGCACTGGGGCTCCACTCGCTGACTTTCCTCGCAAAAAAAAACCACCCCAAACGCTCAGTTATCACTTCAGACTCGAATCACTCGCGCCTTAAAACCACGGAATACCCCGAGTTGGACGAGACGCGCAAAGACCACGGAAATCCACGTCCTGACACTTCCCAGCACCAAAGTACAGGCACAGTCGTGGATTATCCCCCGTTCCCGCCACACCCGCTGCCCGCCGGGCCCACCTGCTCCTCCAGCCGCTGGATCTCGGCCTCGTTCTCCTTCTCCTCATCCTCGCCATCGCCGGAGGAGTCCGAGTCCCCCTCCTCATCCGAGTCTCCGCCCGACTCGGGGTCTCCCTCCGGCAGCCGCTTCTCCTCCTCGGCCGCCGCCTCAGCTCCCGCCGCCGCCATCTTATGCAGCTCCGCTCGCTGCCCGCCGCGCTGTGCCGGCCGCCGCGGCTGCCTCCGCACAGCCCGTCCCGCCGCCCCGCGCCGCCGCCTGCCGAGCCGGGCGGGAGAGCGGGAACCCGCCGCCCGCCACGCCCCGCACTCCGCCGTGAGCCGGGACCGAGCTGCGCCGAGCGGGGCGGCGGCGCGACCCTTTGTATCCCGGTGAGTGGCGCAGGCAACGCCGCGGACACCCCGCTGTGCGGCCCTCAGGGGGGCCTCCGGGAGGGTCCGCGGCGTGCGCGGCGCGGCTCGGCCGCCATATTGAGTGTGGCGTCTCGCACGCGCGCCGGATATCGCGATAAAAGGTCTGTCGCGACAGAAGCGGCGCTTCCACCGTTTATTTACTTATTGATCGTTTCAGCGGCAGCGCGAGGCCCTTCCCGCGGGCGGCCCCCGGCGCTCGCTCGGTCTGCGCGGCGAACGCGTGGTCGCGGTGAGACGCGGGCGCTCAGCGGCCTGAGGCGAGGGGGCGTGGCCGGGGCGTGGCCTCCTCGCCCGAGGTTATAAAAGGGCTCCGTGCGCCGCCCGCCCCTCAGTCAAGATGGCGACGCTGAGAGCGGCGGGGGCGGCGCTGCTGCGGCCCCGGGCCGGGCCCGCCCCGGCCGCGCTGGGCTACCACAAGAAGGTGAGGGGCGAGAGGGGCACGTGGAGAGACGTGTGGGTGGGGAATCTGGGTGGCTCTCGGTGACGCTGTGCCTTCGTAGGTGGTGGATCACTACGAGAACCCGCGCAACGTCGGCTCCCTCGACCGCAACGCCAAGAACGTAGGCACCGGCCTGGTGGGCGCCCCGGCCTGCGGCGACGTCATGAAGCTACAGGTGACCTTGGGGACCCTCTGGCACCTGGCGGGGGGGTCACGTGGGGCTGCTGTGAGGCACAAACCTGCCCGTGTCCCCGCAGGGCACAGCGTGGCCCTCCCGCACAGCCATCCTGCCCTGTGCCCGGAGCAGGGCCCGTCCCGCTGCCCCGGGGCAGGCGCTGAAGTGTTCCCAAAATGTTCTCACAGGTGGAGGTGGACGAGAACGGCAAGATCGTGGACGCCCGGTTCAAAACGTTCGGGTGCGGCTCGGCCATCGCCTCCAGCTCGCTGGCCACCGAGTGGGTCAAAGGGAAAACGGTGAGGGAGCCCTGGGACAGCTTCACACCCGCCTGTGCTCTCTGTCCGGATCGCCCTGGCCAGGGAATCCCAGCACTGCTTTGTGCTGGAGCTTAGAAGGCAGTGACTGCCAGCCCTGACTTAGAGCAAGAGTTGCCTTTTTCAGGAATCATTAGAGAATCATTAAGGTTGGAAAAAGCCCTAAGAGCACTGAGTCCAGCCATTCCCCCAGCACTGCCCTGTCCACCACTGACCCATGTCCCCAGGTGCCACATTTTTTTAACACTTCCAGGGGTGGTGATTCCACCAGGGAAGTACTTTGTGTCTTAATGCAACAAGCAAAACCAGGCTGATGGCAGGTTCTGGAGTAAAGTTTAATTACAGAGAGGTTTGAGATCGTTTAGACCTGTTCTTCTCCCAGCAACAAATGCACTTCAGTGCTGTGGTAGAGAATCAGCAGCTCAAGCAGTGGCAGTCTGTGACACTGGTGTGTGTTGGTTCATTCCCACTCTGTCAGACTCCTTAATTCCAACATCCTCACTGCCCTGGGCAGCTGAAATGTTCTTCCCTTGGGATTCTGTTGGCTCTGGAGCATTAAACCCTCCTAGCAAACCCCCTTGCAGCCCGTGTTACACCTGTCAGAACCCCTGACCACCCTCCCTGTGTTCCAGGTTGACGAAGCGCTGAAGATCAAGAACACGGATATTGCCAAGGAGCTCTGCCTTCCCCCTGTCAAACTGCACTGCTCCAGTAAGTGAACACCTGGGATTTCAGGGGGATGCTCTGGGAATAGCACAGATGATCCGGGATGTTTTCCAAATAGTTTCTGCATGAGGTTGGCCTGAAGAGAAACTCGGTGTTCAAATTTCAGGGTTAATTTAAGTTGTTCTCAGATCTCTTTAATACTCTGGAGTCTGTAGCTCAGCAGAGTGATAACAAATGTTCTCACTCTGAATTATCTGAAATTATATTCCATAATCTTACATTATATGGGTTCTGTTCAGATTCTACTCCTCAAATCCTACACGTGTTGCCTGTAGTGATGGTCACTGCTGCCTGCTCTTGTTTATCCATCATCTCTTGTCCTAAAAGCCTTCTAATGATCCTTAAAATCCCATGTTTTTGCTTTGCAGTGCTGGCTGAGGACGCCATCAAGGCCGCCCTGGCTGATTACAAACTGAAGCAGGATCCCAACAAAGAATCCGAGAAAAAAGCCAACAATGCCTGAACTGACTGCGGAGCTTTTTCCTCCTCCCTCCTCACTTTGCAGTGCAATTCCCGAGCTGTAGTAGGACCCAGTGCACTACTCAAGCTGTAAGATACGCACAAGTTACGCACAACGTGTCCCTGGTGGTGTCCAGCCACTCCGTAGTGCTCACACGGCTGGGATGGGGGGCCCCGTCCCCACTGGAATGCCACGGGAAGACTCTGCTCCAGAGGGAAAACCCCGCTGGCCGGTACTGGAAGGGCTGCACTTTTTTTTTTCTGGGAAGATGTCTAGTTTTGCCTAATATTTGATGGAATTTAGTGGGAAGCATTGCCTCGGTGTTGTATGTGTGTGAGAGCTGCGCTCAGCCCCTGTCCCACTGAGCTGGGGTTGGTTTTGCAATCCGGGTGCAAATTCCTGCTCTCGGAGTTCTGGGACCCTTCAGCAGGTGCCAAAGGGCAAGTGGTGGCCAGGAAGCACAGACCTGGTGGCTTCTGCTCCCATCCTGTCACCACTTAAATTTTTTGAAGCTCCTGTTAAAAGACCAGCTGGAGCTTTGGGGTGTTTTCTCTAAGAATGCCACCCCTGCCCTGGCCAAGTGCTCTGTTACAGCTGTAAAACCTGGGCTAAGGGAAGGTGTCCCTGCCCAAGGCAGGGGGTTGTAACTGGATGAGCTTTAAGATCCCTCCCAGCCCAAACCATTCCAGAATTCTATGAAATACACCCTCAAACTGGAACCCAGTGGGGAATAGCAGAGCTGGGATGTGGAGCTGAGGGGGAACTCCCAGGATTCCTCTTTTCCAGGGGAGTATCTCCAAAACAGTCAGAAAACGCATTGGAAAACGTCACGTTCTTGGCTTCTCACCCCCTCAAGACACTTCACTTCCCTTTCTTCTTACTGAGGGTGTTGCTAAACATTTAAAACCACATTTACAAAAACAATCGGTTCATTCTGGTACATCTGGGCACAATACTTGTCATTTTTAACACAGGAATCATGTGTTGCTGCTCTGCTTTGTCCCTCACAAGATCCCTCCTGTACCTCAGCTCCTGCCAGCGAGTACCTCACTCCCAGGGAACAATCCTGCTGTTTCCCAGTTAAAATCAGGGAAACTTGAGACTCCCACATCTGCTTTGGGGCAGAATCAGCTCTTCCTGCTGACAGGCTCTTCCAAAGGGCAGGTTGTCCTGAGCCAGGGACGTGTGGACACACATTGACCTCTCCTGCAGCTGGGACAAAACACAGGGATATAGGGAAGCAGGGAGAGGGGATGTGCTGCATTCAGGGCAGAACAGCCTCTCTCACCTTCCAGGTTTACCTGCCATCCCCACCGGAGCAGCTGCATCCCCGTGCTGTGGGACGAGGTCCCCCACAGTGCCCCTTTGGTCCCCCGCCCTGGGCTGTGGGTACCAGATAAGGGTTTCCTGGAACCAGCCTGTGACGTGCAGATTTGGGGGGTGATACGCAGCCTCCCCAGCGTCCCACTGCCAGGCTCCAGAGAGGGTGGAGCCCAGTCCAGCCCAGGGAGGGCCCTGAGGGAGCAAAGGGACACTGGGAATGTCCCCTGGTCCCCCACAGCTGCAGAGAAACACGGAAGAGATCTGCAGAGGAAACGTTTATTTCTAGCCAGAGGGGTTAAGGAAATGAGGCAAAAGTCCAGCTGGGCTGTGGGACATGCTTTGGGGTGAAAAAGTGAAAGGATGGGTCTTTGTCCCTAAATCCTCATCCCTCCTCCCCTCGGGTGGCCAAGGGCAGCCCGTCCACCACGTGGCCTCAGTGCCACAGCCATGGGCAAAGCCACCCATGGTCACAGGGAGCCCCTGCCCCCCTACCCAGGGAGGGGACAGCAACAGATCGGCCCTGCTCCCGTCCCTCTTCCCGAAGGGACACAGCTCCCAGCCAGGTGTCCAGCCCAGGATCCTGACCAGGAAAATAACATTTGGGAGGAAGCTGTTGGCACAGGGAGGGCAGAGCCGGAGCTGGGGTGGGAAAAGCCCCTTGGGCAGCAGGAGTGAGGGCTGCCAGCGTTCCAGCCCTGGGGGAAAGCAGTGGCTACCAAAAAACCCCACGGATTTGCCACAGTGTCCCATTGGCACGAGGGTGGGGGGCCTCAGGGGGGCTGGGGAGGGTGAGGGAGCGGGGTCTTCATCGGGGCTTCCTTGAGCCACCACGTACATACGGAGCGTTGATCCATGTCCATCATGTGTCCCAGTCTGGTGGCTCCTGGGGCTCACCCGGGACCACGTCCCTGCCTTAGACTCCGGAGGGGGCTGAGGAGCCATCCTGGGGCGTGTCAGGGGTCTCCTTGCCCCCTGCTCCCGTTGCTCCCACCGCTTCCTCCGCACCTGGATTTTGGGGAGAGGGCTTGGCAGGTTGGTCATCTGCCAACTTCTTGCTTCCTTCCTCTTCCTCTTCTTCCTCCTTCCCGGTGGGATTCTGCTCAGCCTGGGCCCCGTTGGCCAGCGGTGCCCTGGGGGGGGATTTGAGGCTCTGGGCGGCTGCCAGGATGTCCGCCTGGAGCTGCCGGCTGCCGTCCAGCGGCTCCTCCGCGCCCGCCTCGGGGGCCTTGTCGGGCACCTCGCTGAAGGCCCGGGGCCCCCCCACCTTGTCCCGCTCATCCACGTACTTCTGCTTGGGGAAGGACGAGGGGTAGTAGGCGGAGGCCTTGTGCTTCTGGCGCACGATGACGGCGGCGCAGATGATGAAGAGGAGCACGAAGGACAGCGAGCCCACCACCACCACCAGCAGCAGGTACTCCTTGAAGAAGTCCACCAGCCCGTCCAGCACTCCCGGGGCAGAGCTGTTGGTCACGGTGGTTCCCCCCGCGTCCCCCACCGTGGGGCTGATCCGGGGGGTCACGGGGGCGGGTGGTGTGGCCGACGCCTCATCCCCATCCCCGCTGCCCCCCGTGTCCGGCAGCGCCGGGGGGTGCCGGGGGGCTGCCGAGTGTGCCGGGGCCGCCAGCAGCGCCAGCAGCAGCAGCCACATCGCCGACCCCATTCCCGGGATCGCGCACAGGGACCTGTGGGATGCAGAGGGGAGGGTGGAACGTTAACACCCCACAGAGCAAGCCCCCCAAACCCTGCCCCAGGCCAGCCCCCACCCCAAACCCCCAGCACGGGGCACTCCGACACTCGCTATTCCACGTGCCTGAATTTCCTCCTGGAAATCAAAAGGCAGCTCCGGTTTTCTCGCCCTGCCAGAGCGAGGGGCTCCGTTTGTTTGCCGAGGGTGCAGAGAAAGCCCAGCTGGAAGGAGCTGAGTGGGATTGCTCAAGGCTGGGGGGCCGGGGCTGCTGCCAGCGACCGGCTGCAGACAACGGTCATTGGGCTGATTAGAAAATTCCTGAAAAATGGAGGTTTGCAGTGGAAACTTTGACACGGGCAACACTGCAAAGGGGCCGGGCAGCATTTCCCAACCGCCCGTCCCGGACCGTTACACACCATTCCCAGCTAAAAATAGGCTGGGGCAGGATTTCACCCCGGAGCCGCCGCCACAGCCGAGTGGAGCCGGGATGGGACCCCCCAGAGCCTGCACCAGGGGCAGCCCCGAGCTGGGACACAGTGAACGGGGGTCCTGGGGGTCCCGGCTGCCTGAAAGTTCCCAGGGAAGGGGGAAGTCCAGCTACATCTCGCACATGGGGCTGGGTCTGTCCCACGATGTGCTGTAGGACACGGGGTACATGTTTTCCATCCCAAAGGAATGACCCCCCAGGGGGTTTGGGAAAGGGATGTGACCGTCCTCACCACGTCGTGACAAATTCCCGAGGGACATCGGCGCGTGCCACGCCACGTAACACCATGGAGCCATTCCCAGGGCTCTTCCCCTCCACACAGCTCCATGGGAAGGTCTCAGGAACCAGCCCCCCAACTCCATCAACGGGCAATACCTCCCCCCAGCAATTCCCCCAAACCTCAGGCCCCCCAAACCTCAAACCGCCTCCCATTTTCCCCAAACAAACCCAGCCCAGCAGTGCTGCCGGCCGGGAGGGATCCAGCAGTAGGACTTGGCTTCCAGGCCCCTTCCTGGCTGCACAATCTGGTTTCCATTAAACCAGAGCAAACAAACGGCAGCAGAGGCAGGAGGTGGCCCCGGACCCCCGACCCTCCTGGCTCACGCAGGCATCAGTGCTGGGCTCGGAGCAGTAACCAGCACCAGGAGAATGAAGGTTTTTGGGTAGCTGGAATGAGCCCCTTCATCCTCCCCCTTCACTGCAGAGAGGGGCCCCTCGGCAGGGAGAGGGGTCCTGGGACGGGGACGGCATCAATTCCCCGGCAGCAAATGGAGTTGAGGAGCAGCCACAGCCACGGAGGGGCTGAGTGGAGCCCAAAGCAGCCCCAAGAGCAGGGCCTGGCACCGTGGCCACTGCCAGCCCTCCATCCCCATCCCAGCCCACCCTCACCCACAGAATGTTCCTGGCTCCAGTTCTGCTTCCCTCTGCTCCCAAAACCCTCCAGAAATGCAGGATTTTGGTGTTGTCTGGGCACAGCACCCTCTGACTCCTGCCTGGGAACACAGCCATGTGGCCAACACCATCCCGTGTCCCGCCGTGGGGACCATGCCCAGCCCTCACGGCAGCACCCCTGCTCACGGGGCTGCCTGTGTCCCCCTTGGAGCCCCCCCAAAATTGGGGACAGCCCGGCACAGCCGTGGGATCCTCACCTCGCCTGCAGCTGCCGCGTCGGCAGAAGGGAGCCAGGAACGCGGGGTCTGTCCCACACACCTCGAGCCCCTTTCTGCTGCTGCTGGGATGGAGCCTCCTCCTTCTCCCTCTTCTCCTCCTCCTTCTCCTCCTCCTCCTGCGTCGCAGCCCAGGACCAGCTTGTTCTCATTAGGGCCGGGATGGGGAGGGGGTGTGGGAGGCCTGGGAAGGGCAGGCAGCCCCCAGCCCCCTCCCAGACGAAATCCAGCTGGGGCTGGGGGTGTTTCCTGATTTCTTCCCCTGTCAGCGAAAGGCAGGAGCCCTGGTGCTCACCATCACCACTGGAAGAGGCCACTTTTTAGGGTGCAAGTGGGGAAGGGGGTCACACAGAGGAGCTGTGCAAAGGTGGTTTTATCCACGAGGGGGTGGGTAAAGCCCCATATGAGGGTCTGAGGAGGGCAGACAAGGATGTGGGCTCGGTACCCTGGCATTACTGGGGACTGGCAGTGGGGCAAACAGGGCTTGGGACCCCCTGTGTAATTTCAGGAGACCATTTCCTAAACAACCCAGCCTGGAAATGCTCTGACACTGGCATCTCTGCTTTGGGGTGCAGGCAGGAACACAAGCAGGGACACAGGCAGGGGGTCCCTGTGATTCCCCAGACCAACGTGGATGCTCCTCAGCTCCCCAGGATGTGGTTTCCAGTTTGGGGGGCTGGGGGCATCGCCTGGCCCCCTCCCCCCCCCCATCCCCCGGCTCTCTGCCTCCCCCCACCCTGGTCCCTCGGCCCGGGCTGAGGTTGCTCAAGAGGCCACAGCCGCTGCGTGACCTCATCCTGTTGCTATTTTCCTCTGCTCTTCCCTGGGGACCAGCCAGACCCCCCAGAAAGCCCCCGCCAGAGTCCGGGGACTGCGACGCCCTTTGGGGCCGAGGGAGTCTGCCCCCACGTCCCGAGGGAACTGGCGCCGTTTGGGGTCCTGCCGCCGGCGCGGCTCCCGAAATAACGGGTCGGTCCGTCTGTCTGGCTGCAGCCGCGGCTCTGAGCAGCTGCTGGGGCGGCTGTTCCCGGCCTTAAGTGCTCAGTGATGAAATCTTAGAGGAGAAGGGGGAAAGGCGAGGGGGGGGCCGTGGGTGGGGAGGGGGGCGACCCCGTCTGGGAGATGTTCCAGAGGCATCCGGGCTCGTTCCTGCAGCCCAGATGGGGATGGGGCTGAGATTCCCCATCCCGCGAGCCCAGCGATGCCGGCGTTGGGCTGAGTCTCCTTGCTCAGGATCCCCATCCCATTCTACCCTTGGTCACATCTCCCCTCATCCGGGGTCCCCATCTTTCCTTGCCCGTGTTTCCCATCCCTCTTTGTCCCAGGTCTGCATCCCACACCACCCAGGGTCCCCATCCCACCCTGCTCAGGGTCTCTATCGCTCCTTGTCCCGGGTTCCCGTTCCTCCTCGCCCAGTGTCCCCCCCGTCCCTGCCGGGATCCCCTCCCTGGCCGGGCGGTCCCGGTGCCAGCGCCCACGGGCCATTACGATGCCGTTTTTGCCTGCGGCGGGCGCGGGCTCTGCCCCTCGGAGCTGGGCAGGGCCGGGACCGCCCGACCCGCCGTGTAATTTGGGGCCGCTGGAACGCGGGGCCGCGCAGGGCTCGGCTCGGCGGCACCGCCCGCCCGGGGAACCGGCAATTTGAGGGATTCCGGCCCCGCTCTGCTTCTAATTTACCTCCCGGGACTGCGCTTTGCTGTGCCAGCAAAATACCCCGAGGGGACCCATCCTGCGGATCCTGCACGTGGTGTGTGGAGCCCTGTGCCACCCTCCAGCCCGTGTCACCCACAGCCCGGTGCCACCCACTGCCCCGCGCCACCCACCACACGCTGCCCGAGGATCGCTGAGGATCCTGCTGTGACACCGCCGCGGCTTCTCGCGGATTCCTGTGCCGTGAGCTGGGCGGTGGCAGCCCCACAGGACTTCCTGACGATTCCAAATAGGGCGATTCCCGGCTCCTGGCAGCTCCAGCGGTGGAGGAAAGTTTATCCTCTCTGGGCTTCTGCTCCAGAGTGGCTGGTGCAGTGCTGGGAGAGCAGGAGCAACCCCTCCAACCTATGCCCACCCACCTCCTCGGGACATAAGGGCCTCATCCTCACCTGGAGTGGGGGCAGGATGAGCCACTGCGGGGTGGAGATGGATGATGGGAACATTCCTGTGCCTCCTGTGGATGTTCTGCCCGGCAGGGGCCTGGTACCCAGCTCCGTGGGGACACAGTGGGGCAGAGCAGGGTGCCATCACCATGGACAGGGTGTCCCACCTGTCCCACCAGGGGACCAGCCCTGGCCAGTGGCTGCAGGTCCCTCACCCGGCTGACTCACCCACAAACATTTACATTCCCAGCGGGATCGGGGCCGTGCAGCTGCCAGGAGCCAGATGGAAAATATCCCAAGCACAGTGTGAATGTAAACAGGCAGTGGGGCTGGGGTGCAGGTGGGACACTGTGCTGGAAGACCCCCAGATGGACATCCCAGAGGGGCCTTTGAGGAGGCTATGAATGTGGCTATGAGGGGATGTGGTTATGGTGATATAGGGATGGGATGTGGGGATGGGAATGCTGAATCTGTCAGTGCTGGGATGGGGATGGAGGGATGGGAATATTGAGCCTGGCCATGGCAGGAATGGGGATGTGGGGATGGGGATACTGAGCCCAGGTGGAACAGGGATGGGAAGATGGGGACACTGAACCTGGCAGGACAGGGACAATCTTGGGCCACCTCTGCTCCCCTGGGGGCTCCCTCACCACTGGGCACAGTGGGGAGGCCAGTTGGTGGCCCGAGGGGTGACTGACACCTGCACAAGGAGGGAGGTGGGACCTGGGAGCAAACCTGAGCCCCCTGCAGCCCCAGTGGGACCCTCGTTGGCTGCTCATGGCTTTGCTCTCCCCATCCCTGCCATTCCCAGTCTCGGGCAGGCAGGGCCAGAGCCGCTGGACGAGGCCGAGACCCTGCAGTGCTCCAGCAGCGACAGCAGCACCTGACCGGCAGCCACAGCCCCAGCCGTCGCTGCAGCGACCGCAGGCAGGAACACGTTGTGCCGCGAGCGCTCCCGTCCCGTCCCGTCCCTTCCCTTCCCCCCCAGCATTTCCGCCCCGGCCCCGCCGCCTCCACAGCGCCCACGAGCTGAGCCCACCGGGGAGGGGTCCCGGGGGCTGCGATCCCCGAGCCCCCCGGTCTGGCCCCCGCCCGACGGCGGGTGGCTGCGGGTTTCGTTTCTGCTCCCCCGGGGGGCTGCGGGGGGAGGATGGAGAAGCGAAATTTCGGCAGCGGGATGTGGGTAGGCGGCGGGGCGGGAGGGGCTGGGGCTGGCGGGGGCTGTCCCTGCTAGTGAGAGACCACCACGTCCGGGTAACATTTTAATTGGATCAGCCTCGAGTGCTGAGCTCGCCGCGGGGGAAGCACCTCCATCACGCCGGTCCAAGCGAAAACACGAACCCGAGGGGACGGGGGTCCCCTGCCTGTGGCTCGCCTGGGGATCAGGCACACGTCCCTGGCACTGCCGCCGGCCCCCCAGCACTGTGGGATGCAGGACCCATCCCGGGGTTCAGGAGTGCTCCGGCAGGAAGCTGCTGAGAGTCAGGTTGTCCCCGTCGGGCTCGGCGCTGCCGTCGTGCAGCCGCTTGTGCCGCCGGGCGGGGACAGGCCGGGGCCCCGCGGCCGCCTCGGCGTCAGCCAGGAGGGACGAGATACAAACCATCTCGGTGCGGCTGAGCCGGCGGTGCCCCGTCCTCGCCCGCCGCCACAGCAGCGCTCCCAGCACCCCCGTGCTCACCAGGAAGGTGGCGGCCACCAGCCCCAGCAGCAGGATGGCCAGTAGGCACTTGCCCATCACCCCGCTGGGGTCCCAGGGCACCGCGGTGGCCGTCGGTGTCGTGTCCCCAGGGGCCGAACGGGTCGGTGCAGGGGGACCTCCGGCTTTCTTGACTTTCCTGTACCCCGTGGTGGTGGGGCCGAGGGCTGGGAGGGCTGTTGAGGGTGGCCCTGTGGAGGACGTGCTGTCCGTGCCACCAGACACTGTCCCCTCCTTGCCAGGCGGCGTGAACCAGCCGGGGGTGGTGCTGATGCTCCTTTGGGGAGCTGCAGATGTGCCGGGCTCCAGCAGCAGGTCGGGATCAGGGGAATCAGTCTCATCCACGAGATCGGCTGTAGCTGGCACTGTGAGTGCCCGGTTCAGGCTGGCGGTGGTGCTGGATGCTGGTGGTGCAGAGCTCAGCAGCAGATCGGGATCGGGGGAGTCGGTCTCATCCATGGGATCGGCTGTGGTTGACACTGTGAGTGCCCAGAGCAGGCTGGCTTTGGTGCTGGGTGCTGGTGGTGCAGAGCTCAGCAGCAGGTCAGGATCAGGGGAATCGGTCTCGTCCACGGGATTGGCTGTGGTTGGCACTCCAAGCTCCCGGAGCAGGCTGGCGTTGGTGCTGGGTGCTGGTGGTGCAGAGCTCAGCAGCAGGTCGGGATCAGGGGAATCAGTCTCATCCATGGGATCGGCTGTGGTTGGCACTCGGAGCAGGCTGGCATTGGTGCCGGGTGCTGGTGGTGCCACAGAGCCCCCCGCGGGCTGGTCAGTGCTGATCAGCGCGGTGGCAGCGTGGCTGTGCCCCTGTGTGGCTGTGGTGGCACCGGTGTCCTGCCCACCATCGTCCCTCTTCCCGCGGGAGAGGGGCAGCGCCCGCCCCTTCGTCCCCCAGAGCCACCGCCCGCCCCGAGGCTGCCCCGGCCCCGGCTCCAGCCCAGCCCCGCACATTCGTGGGGGGCTCAGCACCAGCACCACCAGCACCACCAGCACAGCCCGGCCCGGCGCCATCGCGACCTGCAGGGGACAGAATGGGCAGGTGACATCGGGGTCCTGCTCCCGCGGGAGGATGCTGAGCCTTGAGCTGCCCCGAGGTGGGATCGCACTCCAGCCAAGGATCCTCCTCCCCTCCTGGAGAGGGGCCCTTGGGTTTGGGGAGCCGGAGGATGTGCCCACCAACTCCTCCTGCCGCTGCCCGCCGTGGGGATCTCAGCCCCGGCGGCTCCGCTCCAGGGGAAAGTTTTGATAAGGAAGTTGAGTGTCTGGAAATGGGAAATTAGCCTTGAGGGAGGCGGCTGCTGCGGGACGGGCAGTTGCGGGATGAGTTTCCACGTGGAAATGAAACCACAGGGATCTCGCCCACGTTTCAACAGACCCGCCACCCCAGGGTGCCCATCCTTCCTCTCTGCCCGCCGGGCTGGCACAGAACTCCAGGGCTGAGGCCACCGTGTGCCTGTGCCTCCGTGATGGAGCAGGAGAGTCAAACCCGCCCCAAACCCACCCCAAAGCCCCCAAAATCCCCCCACCATTTCATGTCCATCATCAGTAGCCCCCTGTGGCATCCCCGGTGGGCAGAGGCCACCGCCGTCCCTGCGGATCCACACCCAACAGCATCCAGACATCCTCACACGGATCAACGCTCCGAGCATCCTCGGGAGGCTTCCACATCCCCGAAGCACCCACCCGCCTCCCCAAAACCCCAGGGACCAGCCCTGAGTGCAGCACCCTCAGGGACCCCGAGCACTCCCTTTGCACCCACAGCATCCCCAGGGCCGAGCCCCAGCCCAGCACCTCCCCAGCGGGGCTCACCTGTGCCGGGGGACACCGCGGGATCCGAAGCTGCAGCGATGATGGGATCCACCGGCGAGGGCCCGGCACGGGGGGCGAGGGCAGCCCTGGCACCGGCACCCGCGGGGCGTCGTGGGCCACCCTCGCCTGCACCTCCCGGGCGGGGAAGGGAAGGAGCGCGGAAGGGCGGCTGCGGTTTCGGAGAGCGGCGGGGGAAGGACGTCACTGAGAGTGGGGCTGCGGGCACCCACCGGGGAGGGCGGCAGGGGGTGGGATGCGCCCCAAAGAGGGGCCTCGCACCCTCGCCGTGTCCCCGGTGCCCGGTGGGAGCCCCCGCCCGGCCCCACCGGCGGCCCAGAGGAGCTGCTGCGTCGGGGCTCGCGTCACCCTGAAAGCAGAAGTGACACAAACCTGGTGCCAGGACTGCCACCCCTCGGGCACCGTGTGGGCACGGCTCGGGAGGGGGTCATGGTGCCCTGAGAAGGGACATGAGGGTAGCCCGACACTGGGAAATGCCTTTGCACAAGAGGAGGAGAGTGAGGGCCTGACGATGCTTTGCAGAGCCCTTCTGCTCAGCACCATGCCCAGGATGCCCTGAGGGGCTCTCAGGCGGCTGCGGGGGCTGTTGGGTGTTGTCCCGGCCTCGTGGCATCGGCACGACAGGAAACCCCCACCCCGAGCGCGGGCACCGGGCGGGAGGCGCGGCCGCAGCCGCAGGAAGGTGCTGCAAGAGAACATCCGCAGGAACGGGCTCGGGGTGTCAACAACCTTCCCCCCGAAACCCCGGGCCGCGGTCACCCCGGCCCTTCTCGGAATCGTCTGCCCATGGGGCTGGGGGAGGGAAGAAAAGGGGTTCAGGTCTGAGGGATGAGCATCCCCTGGGATGGATCCACGGTGCCTCTCCTGGAACATCCCTGCCCTGCTCGGGGTGGGAGTGGTGTCGGGGTGTTCCGGAGGCAGCTGGAGGTGGTTGTGCAACACCCAGGGAAACGCTGCAGCCCCGGAAAGGCTCAAACCTGGGCGGGATGAGTGATGCTCTTTCCAGCCCAGACCCTCTACCATTCCAGGCCTCCAGCCCTGTGGAAGCAGGTTTCAGCTGGGGAAGAGCAGGGCATTCCCTCCCAGGGCTGTTCCTTCAACACATCAGCCCAGTCTCAGCCACACTGAGCCCCCGCCCAGCCTGTCTGTGCCATCACATCCCACATCAAGGCAAACTCTTGGGACCACTCACCGGGAATCACCATGTGTGACCTCAGGGATGGGTCCCTGGGACAAGAGCAGGGGTCCCAATGGACCCCTCAGCCCCAACCCCCTTCTCAGGTGTCCAACATTTCATATCCGGGTTACTGATCAAACCTGGAATGCCAGGGGCAGGCACAGGGCACCGAGAGCCAAAGAAAAAGCAAAGCAGAGGCAGTTTATAATCAATGACTTTTATCTTTTGAAAATGGAAGCAATATTTGGACAGATACTCCGGCGCTCTATAAGAGCGCGTCTCTCTGGACTGGGCTGGTTCTCTCCCGGGATATCACGGCTACAAAAAGCTTCAGGCACTGACTCCGGTTGAGCCTGGCGAGGCATCAGTTCATTTAAATAAAATACAGGCTAAGAACTAAAATCCAGGGCGGCCTCTGGAACCGTCTCCCACACCCCCCACCTCTGGGCATCTCAATCCAGCGGCTCCCCAAACTGATTTCCTTCCCATTTTAGGAACAAACCCGAGGTCCCCAAGCACACAACCCCGAAGTCACACGTACAAATCAACACAGAAATCACCACTTTGGGGGGTAACGACCTTCGGGTTTGGTTTCCAAAAGAAAAATTCATAAAAATACACATCTCAGGCATTTACTGCAATACAGAAACGTCACCAAACAGCCAAAGAACCCGGAGCGGCCGGATTGTGGATCCACGGGCACAGGGCAGGGGATGCCACTTGTCCCTAAAACACAGAAATCCCACTTTTCTGAAGCTTTCATGCTCTGCAATCCTCCCACATCCTCCATCTCCTCCGTCCCGTCCTCGTGCCTCTCCAGCTACGTGACCCGGCCGTTCCCACGGCGCGGTCCCACCTCCACACACACACACATCCCTCCACAACAGGGAATCCTTAACCTGGAAGTTCTGGACATGCAAACACTGGGGAAAATGGAAAAATCGGAGAATTACTAGCTAAACTAATGGAAAAAAAAAAATAAAAATCAATCACTTCAGCCTGGCCGAAGGGACACGTGTCCCGCCGGGATGCTCCGGGCAGGGGATGCGGGGCAGGGGTTCCCACGCACACGTCACACACACACGGAGCTGCCACGGGCACAGAGTCCAGCTGGGAGAGGGATCCAGAGCTCCTGGACACCTGGTGGTCTTTGCCCACCTTTAGATTTCAGATGGGCTGTCACCACTCCCCGGCTGTGCCGGGATGGGTGGCACCGATCCAGCCTGGCACAGCTGGCTGGGGGATCCTGGATCCCATTCCCAGCACAAGGACACGGCCTGGGAGCAGGGAGCCAGCCTGCCCCATCCCTGACAGCCCCCTCACAGGGGAGACCCCACCTGAGCAGAGCTTTGCTGAGTCGAGGCAACCATGGAATTCCAGGAGGAGCTCGCCAGCCCAGAGCGCTCATGGGGTCTCTCCCCAGAGGAACGTGTGAGAAACCAGTTCTCCAAACTGGGATAAAACCACCCTTCCCAGTCCCTTCCACTCAGAAGGGGTGCAGGGAGGCTGGGTTTGGAAGTCACTCATCTGATTCGGGAACAAATCCTTTCCTGCAAAGCTTTCCAGCAATGCGGGGTGGGAGGCAGGAATGATGGAGGAGAAAACAAATTATAAAAAAATAACAACAGAGGCATTTTGTCTGGGGAGAATCATCATGGAAAAGTCACTTTCCTGCTGCTAACACTGCCTTGGAAGCAGAGGAAATTCCAAACATCAGCACCGGTGTGAGAGGCTGACTGGGATTCCAAAAGCTCCTTAAAATCCATGAGCTGAGGAGTGTGGGGAGCAGAACAAGGATTTACAGCAACCACAGAGCTGAGATGGGCACCACAGAATTCCACCTTCTGCTGGAATCCCACAGCTCACCTGAAACTTCTTCCTGGAAAAAACATTCCTGCAGGGAAGTAACTTCTGCCTCCCAATTGAAATAAATCAGCAAGTAAAACACGTGAGTTTGGTCATGGAATCAAACCTTGGGATTATTTTAAAATGGGAACATGGTGCTGGTTTAAAAGTTCTGAAAGAATAAAAAGAAAAAGGATTTTGTGGGATGAATCCCTTCTTTCAGATCTATATATTTATATTTTTCTGTCAGACAACAGGGCTGGGAGCAGGAAGGGCAGCTCATCCCATCTCCCAGGGGTCTCAGCAGGGAAGGGAACCCACCTGATTGTTCCAAATTGAGGATTTATACAAAATAGCTTCAGCTTTGTTCTCTGCACAGTGTAAACACCCACCACACACCCCCTGTCCCTTGGAATGGAAACACAAATACTGCAAAGTGGCAAATAAGAAAAATAAAAAGCGGTTCTTTTTCTATTTTTTGGCAACTTCAAAAAAAAAAAATGGTTAAGAACAATGTGGCATTGGTCCCTAAATCTAGAAAAAGGTATTTGGGCACGACATCAAAAGTCAGAATGGATTTGTTTTTCAAGGATTCATCATAACATCTGGAAAAAAAAAAAACCTGTAAAAGTAGCACTTGTTGTTTTTGACTTGGTTTGACACAGTCACAGAACATCAGGAAACGAAAAAATCTTTCACTAAAAAGCTTGGCTTGGAATCATCGGCTCTCGTTGACGTGGGTTTAGGAGAACAGGAAAGCTCGGGCTGGAATGCTGCAGGCTGCTGCTGGCTGCACTGGGAGCTGGGATGTGCCTGGGCCGGGGCCCCTCAGTCCCCGATCTTTGCCATCTGCTGCTCCAGCTTGGAGATGCGCTCGTCCTGGGAGGAGATCGTGTCCTTGATGGATTTCAGCTCTTTCAAAATCTCGTCCAATTTGGCTTCGTTTTGCTGCAAGGCAAGGCAGGACACGTGTGAGGAGAGCTCTGTAGTTTTCCATGGAAAGGGCTCCTCCCAATGGGATTCTCTGAGGGGTGAGGGTGTAATGCCCTCTCTGGAGCAGCTGGGATGCTCTGACACTGCTCCAGCCGTTCCCTCTGGTCCTGTCCCTGCTCACAGAGAGCAGAGACTGGTGCTGCTCCTTGGAAGGAAGCTTTGGACACACTGCCTGGAACACCATAACCAAGCACCACTTCAACTCCAGGTCACCCAAATCCTCAAATCACACATTCTTGAGCTTTGTTACACCTATTCCCGAAGAACCAGCTGATATTCCTGATATTCCCACCCCAGGCCACCACCCCCGAAAGCTCGCAGGAGATCACTCACGGGGTTTGAGGCATCCGCTGCTTTCTTTGGAGCGTTGATGAGATCACTCTTCTTGTTGGCCGCAGGTTTGTTGTCCAGTATGTTCTTCTTGACCACCTTGAGGTCCCTGTTCTTGCCTGGAATGTACCCGTGCTTCAGGGAGATGAGCAGGGGGTCGGCGTTCTTCCCCTCGAACCACTCCTCGGCCTCCAGAGCCGCTTCCGGGCCGGCCGTGTCCGGGTACAGGTCGTCCTGGAAGAGGTCCGACTGCAAGGCAGAAGAGATGGATTGGTCAGGGGCTCTGGGAGGCACGAGCTGGCTCCAGACCTCGTGCCCAGGGCAGTGCTCACCTTGCGGGGAACCGTCATGATGATGGGCTCACACTTCCTCTCGTGGAGCTTGAAGAACCTGCCACGGGAAGGGAAAGGTGGGACTCAGAGCGAGGACTAAGGAGAAGGTCCACACACACAGCAGTGGGCCAGGGGACAGAGGAGATGGGAAAGGAGTAACCCCACGGAATTGTGGAATTACTGAGGTTGGAAATGCCCTCTAAGATCATCAAGTCCAACTGTTCCCCCAGCACTGCCAAGGCCCCATTAATCCATGTCCCGGAGTGCCACATCTACATGGCTTTTAAATCCCTCCAGTGATAGGGACTCCAGCACTGTCCTGGGCAGCCTGTTCCAATGTCCTGACCACCCTTTTCATGAAGAAAGTTTCTCTAAAACCTCCCCTGGCACAAACTTGAGGCCGTTTCCTCTCATCCCATCACTTGTTACCTGGGAGAAGAGCACATTCCCTCCCAGCAGAGACATGTTCCCTACTAGAGCCACTGCAGTGACAGACCTGAGATGTTTCCTGCCTTTCCCATGTGTCCTGAGCCACAGCTGCCCTCTGCTCACTGCTCCGCTGCTGCCACCACTCCCGAAATTCCCAACCCCAGCTTCCAGCCCCGCTCGCCGTGCAGGGGCTGATCCCAGCTCTGGGCTCAGCTCTGCTTACCTGGCAATCTCACACTTGTTGACGTCGAGGCCCCTCTTTGGCATGAACCCCATCCCCCTCTGCGGCTCTTTGCTGCTGAAGGTGTTGAGGTAGTGAACGTACGGGGACTCATCCGTGATCTCGAAGTAGCGGATGCTGCTGTCACCCTGTGGGGACAAGAGAACAACCTGCAGAGCCTGGGGCAACCACCAGCCTCACCCACAGCCTCCCCTCCCAGGAATGCTGCCACACACAGCTTAAAGCTGTTTTGGTTTTTTTTTTAATCTAAAACTTTAAAGCAGCTCCCTGATGTAACAGTTCCTCAAAGTCCTGCTCAAAACACTCATTAGCTCACCCATCTCATTAGAGAGATGGGATTCCTGAATGTACTTGTATAGGTTTTCCTTTGTTCACTGTGTCTTTGGCTCCTGTTTGTAGGAAGTCCATCAAAAGTGGGAATTTTAGAGCACAAATTGCTTTTAGAAAGGAGCACCTGATCCCAGTTTTCTATTATTTAACGACCAAATATTACAAGGAGTGTTGCCACACGCTCCATCATCCTCAGGCACAAGGAGGGGAACATCTAAAATGTATCTTCCTCCCACACCAACGTAAAATCATCCAGGTCAAGATCAACAAGAGAAGTTTTGGTAACAGTGTGTGACTTGTTAGGCAGCTTTACCTAAGTCAATCCATGTCAAAGAAACATCCAGGTACGCTCCAGACCTTCCCAGGTCCTGCAGAGTGAGGATCAATCCCATTTCAAAGCAGCCTGGTCCCTCTGCAGTGATGATTTTTCGGTTCTACCTCCCCCAACTGAGACACCTGGGGAACATTTTAGAGGCACCATTCCCTCCCCAGAGATTCCCAAGCTTCTCCTTACCTTCCCACACAGGTAAATGATGTTGGTGTCCGGGTCATAGAACGGCAGCAGGACCCCAT